TGGCGCTTCCGGCCTAGCTCCCGGGCCCGCGTCCGGGTTAAAGTGACAGGAGCTGGGGCACAATTGGGCGCGCGCAAGTACATGTCTTTGTACATCCTCAGCAGCTGGGAAAGGTGGCGGAGTGGCAGTGATCATATTCAGGGCCTTGGGGAGGTCTGGATTGTTCTGTTTCCTATCTCTGTTTCGGTCCGTCTATGGAATTGTTCGTTGTCATTCTTTCGGACGTGCCATCGGGGACTAGCACGGTGTCTCGGAGATGCTGATAGCGAGACAAGGCGTCGTCGAGTTGATTTGGATTGATATGTCCCGGGTTTGATTCGCTTCTATTCAGAGACGCAGGCATGCATATCTGAGTCCGCGGGTTTCCGGGACTTAGTTCCTGCAGGTTGCTGCAGCGCTCTGCAGACTGCACGTTGTCCACCCACATGCTGCTTGCTGTATGTAAGACAGATGCCTATTGTTCCTGTGCAGCAGCTTCATGTCTGCTGCACTCTCCAACCTGCGAGATTATGGATACCTACTTAGAATCTAGCATTGATCCATTATTTGCCGTTTGAGGTTTTTCCAAATTTCCAAACATCCATCCCTCACTGCAGACTGCCACGTTCATCAATCAGAGCCAGTCCCATTTTAGCCGCCTGGCTTGTCCTGGTCTGTCGCAGGCTCGTAGCTGCAAGTGAGGCCTTGGGGCCCGCTGTGAGCACATGCACCTTCAGGGGTGCCCGCGCTTTGAAGTTGATTCTCCCAGGGTGCAAGGACGAGGCGAGCAGTGCCCAATTATTGCTAACGATTGTCTAATTGACCAGCGCTGCATGAGCCCTTGATGATGTTCACTTAGCGGTTTTGAATTTGATAGAGAAGAACAGGATGTGCACATGGGTGAAGACATCAATGGCACGCTGCTAGACAGACTGAGGCCATGTAAAGCCATGCTTGCTAAGCGGTAACTGAGTCGTACCTCGACCACCTCCACGCCCGGAAGCAAATTGCTCCCTCCTAATTATCCCACGTGGGAGGGCCAAATACTGGCCCCCGACGTCTTGGCGTCGTCTCTGTTTATCTCGATCAGCGCTGAATCTTTAGCATGGCGAGTCTAGAGCTCTCTGATCCTCCAAAAATAATCTCCCCTACATAGCACTCCCAAACGTTGCTGGATTTAGCCCGAGCACACTGGATTGTACACGGAGCCCAGACACACAACTCTAGATTGAAACAAGATTACAACTGATACCGGGCAATTTCATACTCTACTGTCAGTCATGGCTCTGACAGACTCAAGACATGGCACATAGAAGTCGACCATATTCTTTTTCCACCCTCCGCCCCGCCTCCTTAGCATGTCAACTGACAACCTTCGCCATGTACCTGACAAAGTAGACGCTAGGCGTCTCTGGGTTAAAGGACAGTAGGACGGGCAGTCCGCTGAAAGCTTCATCGTTGCATTCCCGGCTTGAACGGCATGGGTCTTGGCTGTTGCCCACATGCTAGCGGACACGACTGGGGCAAGCATCAGGCCGCACGAAACAAAATGACTCCATTCCGTCAACCCCGCTGTCTCTCCAGCTTCGCGCGCGGTGATCACGTTGAATGAGCCTCACAACCTCCTTCAATTCTAGCCTTGGCACAAAGCACTGCAGAAGCGGATCGAGATGCCTAATCCTACCTGCTCCCGTCGCTTAAATGTCACGACATCATGTTTTTTGGAAACGCGCGTATCCGCTTCGAATCGCAGACAGGCTGTGCTCCCCGGTGGAGGCATATGTCGCACCGTTACTCAGTCGTTTTCTTGGCAGGCGGACAGCGCCATCTTCAGACTCCTTGGCCCCTACTTACTGCGTCAATGAGGCGATGTGGCATATCGCTATCACGAGGCGGCGGTATCCGTACGCCTTGGCGCAACTCCATCATCGAGATTGCGCAAGCCGTTGCCCCCCGACGTCAATCTTGTTCAACAAAATAAGGCCATCAAGGGCCTCAGCTTAACAGCTTGCAGTTAAAGCCGAACATGGCAATTTCCCACTCCGGCTGACAGAAGCCACTAGAATCCCACTTCTGATACACAATATCACTCCGGATATCTTTCCGTAAATCATCTCCCAGTTCATCCATCCTTTGCCCCGTCTGAAAGGGCCCTAATATCTGGGCAGACTCAAGGTTGACTCGCCGCCGCCAGACTTCGAGCAGAAAAACACACTGCCAGAAGGTCCAGCCCGCTTGTTAGACCACCTCTAGTCATTGAGCAAAACTCGCTGCGGAGGGACAGCCAAGTTCCGAGGCCTGCCCTATGAACGCGCCAGGCGCACCTCCTTTAACCCCAGATTTTAGGGCTCTCCCTTGGAGACTGCCCCTGCAGGGAGCTTGAGAGAGATGCCAACGCACACCCCTGCAGGGAACCTCGTCAAGCGTGACTTCGCCCTCCTCTCACTTTGCTCTTCTGCTGGCGGAACGTTGCTGGGAGCATCCCAGAGCCGTTGGCAGCCCACGAAACCCGATTCGCCTCGTTTGCGGCGCACGTCTCTTCTCTTTGCACAATTAGCATACTTCATATCTACTTGACGAGAACCATCCATCATCCTGTCGCTTGTCCACGCGCACGCAGAGAAATACCACCCAAATCAAGGTTTGAGCAGTCCCTGCTTCTGGCCGCAGATCATCCCCCCCTCCTGCTTCTTTGGATATCATGCTTTGGCTGTGCCGGACAGCTCGGACGCTCTTCGAGCGAGGGGGGCCTGCGGTTCCGCAATCCGGTCACCCATGTTCCAATGCCCCCTCCGCGCCCATCGACCACCTCGGTGACATTCATCTGGAGATGGTGGTCTTGGCCCGAACTCCGAGGTGTGCCGCAAGCAATTAGAAACGCCATTTTAACCGTTGATTGAGTCTGGGCTGCTCCGTGCTGGGCTAATCATAGCCCGTTACCGCCCAATCAATCCCTTGGCGAACCTCTAGAAGCCAAGTCTCAATGAGGCTGTGACCGTTGGCGTTGTTCCTCAACATCGACAGCCATTCCTCCCGTTTTATCTGCCTCGTGACGACGACTCCGCTTGGCATAAATGAGTATCCTCTGTCAGTGTTGCTACCTTCAAGTGACACGACCCATATTCTTTCACTCGTTCAATTGCGATTTCACATACCAGGGCGGACTAGTTCAGAGAGCCACCACCCCTCAGCCATAGATACGAGTCAAGAAGCTCGAGTAGCTTTGGCCATAGGCTATGCTTTTCCCGTAACTTCTGACGAGATTGCTGAGACCAGACGATACAGGATCCAGCATACTCGCATTGTTTGCGATGTGCGCGTGTGGCTGACTCGACAGAGCCTCAGAGTCGTGCATAACAAGCTATGCTGGTGCTCTGATGAGTTGCTCTCGTACCAAGTACCGACATTGTCTGCTTCCTCACGCAACGTGGAACACGCTCTTAAGCTCAGTTCTCTGTGCTCCGCGCCCTAGAGCAGGGAGCTTGGGCTATCACCCGGCCCGATACATGTGCTGCAGACTTGTCTCCATTCTTCCCGCCTTCTTCTCCCCCGCGGTCCCCGGGATTGCGGGTGAAGACGGGACTTCTCAAAGGCCCCAGCGGCGGCGCCCGTCGTGTCTTGTCCCGCGATTCACCCGTCAACACACTCCCGCTGACATCGTTCTCCTTTCGATCTGTGTTGCGCGGCTGTTGTTGCCCCTTCTGCTTTACGTACTCCACAAGAGTTTCCGACTCGTCAGTGAATCGAGAATCCGTGCTCTTGCCAGCGGGATGCCCCAGTATTCGTATTGTTTCCGGGCCGTTTCCGATCTGTCGTGCCCTGTCTCCCGTCGAGATCCCGCTCCATCTCCGCAAATCTCCGCTGATAGGCCATCTTCGAGGGAAAATAGTGGTTCGGCAATCGGGGCATTTGCGTCGATGCGGCTCTTGGTCTCAACGTCAGGTCTCACTCGTCTGGCAGTGGATGGAAATGGGGATGCTTGGATGCCTCCGCTGTGATACGGCAGTGAACCCACAATCCGAACATGATGGGGCCGGCCCGTCGTTGCTTGATTTTAAGGCCGTGACGGGCGTTCTGATGATGCAGTCTGCCGCATACTTTTGAGTTTGGAGGGCTACCATACCATGAACTTGGTATCCGTCTGAATGACAAAGTTCGATATCCCAAGAATCGCCGAGAGACTTCCGTACCCGACTGCAAGATGATGGTCTAATCAAGCTGGGAGTCCTGCTCTGCTACACAATGCGCGTCCTTCTCATTTCGAAATTTGCAAATATGTGAAGATGCCTCTAATCGTACGAAGTGGTGGTTACGAACACTGCTATCACCACATCAGCCCCTGGATTGATTCGAGACATTATGATCGCCCTTTACCATCTCATATTGGATGCCCTCTATCGACATTACGTACTGGTATCGGCCTGCCTGAACATCGTTCTCGCATCAGTTGCGCATTCGACCGCTTAGGTAAGTCAAAAGTGCATTTCCCAGCCCTTTACGATTTCCTTTCCAGGATGTCCCGGTAACGAAGCCACTCCGCACCGTCCGTCTCCCCGCATCACCATCTCCCGCCCTCGCCATGACCTCTGGTCCATCGGCAGTTATTTTATTGGCTATTAAGCTTTCGGAGGCCATTTGTGTCGCCGAACCAACGTCTGTGGCTATTATTGTGAGGAAATGCCGTCTGTTAGGCCAAGCTAGACAGGCCGGTGATGTCAATAACGTTCTTCGGCCTCCAGAGTGATACGAGATCAGAGTCGCATACGTGTGTTGAGACGTAAATTGATCCTGTATCTGAAGCAGTCCGAAGGGATCGTAAACGGACCGCATAGAGATATCTAGCTGCCACCGTCCTCGAAGGTCCGTGGCTTGCATTTGATTCCTGCAATCTGCTGGATCGTGACATCGTCTGCCACCATTACTGTTCTCGACGTCAACGTTCCCCAAGAGCTGGTAACGACGCATCCTAGAACATAGCTAGTCATTCACCCGCGCGCGCACACTCGCAGACACGCCCAATCATGGACTCTCCGCTCGACGCCCTAGACCCGAACGACCGGAACCACACCTACACCGAAACGGCCGGCCTTTTCATCCGACAATACTGGCACATCATTCTGTCTGTGATCTTGATCGGAAATGTCCTCCGCACCCGGTACCTCTCCCCCCTCCGGAGCTATCCGGGCCCGTTCCTCGCTTCGACTACCCGTCTTTGGAAAGTCATCACCACCGCGTCCGGCCGCTCGCACCTACAATATGTTGCGTTGCACCGGAAGTACGGACCCGTCGTCCGCATCGGACCCAACGAAGTATCCATCGCCTCACCGGAGGCTGCGAGACATGTTCTGAGCGCTGGAAAGAGGTTTTACAAGACGGCGTTCTACGGAGTGTTCCCTCCGCCAGAGAACCCGGACATCTTCACCGAGGTCAACGAGGAGGCTCATGCGCGCAAGAAGAAGGTTGTCAACGTGCCTTACAGCATGGCGGCGATGCAACATCTGAGCCCCTTTATTGACGACACCATTGACCTGGTAGTGGCGAAGCTTGGCGGATTTGCGTCGGCGCCTATGGAATACAAGGCAGACAAGTCCGTGGACCTGGGAGCGTGGTTGCATTACTTCGCATTTGATGTTTTGGGAGAAGTAGCCTTCTCACGGAGCTTCGGCTTTTTAGCCGAGGGGAAAGACGTCGAGGATGCCATCGCAACGATAGATCGCTCACAGGCATACAATGGCATTGTTGGTCAAATCCCCTGGGTGGACCATCTGCTCCGTCGCAACCCTCTTTGGAAGCTTGTGCCAAGTCTGGACACCAAGAACGCTCCAATCACGAGAATCGCGCTAAGTGAGATGGAGAGACGACGACCGTTTGACAAGGAGAGTGAGGGTAAGTTGAGGAACGATGACGGAAGGCAGGATCTTCTGGCAAGTCTGATCAAGGGGCACCTGAAAGACCCTGAGAGATTTACCGAGGGCGACGTCTTCGCTGTTGCTCATGGGGCGATGTGAGTCGCATCAACCTTCTTGAACTGTTGGAGTAAGACTAACATAGATATTACAGCTTTGCCGGCTCGGACTCCACTGCCTCAACTATGCAGTCATTATTCTGGCACGTTTTATCCTCACCAGACGATCATAAAAGGCTAGTAGATGAGATCACTCAAGCTGTCGATGTCGGTATGCTTCCCGCCACAGGAAACATTTCATGGAGTGAGGCCCAAGGTCTTCAGTACTTCCAAGCTTGCCTGAAGGAAGCCATGCGGGTGCGGCCTGCTGTTGGGCTCAACATTACGCGTGTTGTTCCCCCTGAAGGCGCGGAGCTGGACGGGCACTTCTTCCCTGGCGGCACCGAAATCGCAGTCAACGGATGGGTCTTGCACCGGGACAAACGCACATTTGGCGAGGATGCGGACGACTTTCGGCCGGAAAGATGGTTGGTTGAAGTTGACAATGCTAAGAAAATGGAGAGATACATGTTCCAGGTAAGCACCTTCGGCTTAAGGTCAAGAAGAATGGTAGACTGACAAGCATCAATCAGTTCGGCGGAGGCAGCCATGTATGCATAGGACGTAATTTGGCACTGCTCGAGATCAACAAGATTGTACCACGGCTTTTCAGAGACTTCAAGTTTGAATTGGTCCACCCAAGTCAACCGCTGAAGGCTAATGCCACGTTTTTTGTGGTGCAGGAAGGGCTCGAGGTCTATGTTCAGAGGCGGGACTCCCCTTAGAAAGTTTATAGTGATGGATACATGGAGCGATTTTTCACAGGCTTAGTTTGCGATAGTTCTTAATCTAGAGCACAAGTCCCAACTACGTTTGATGATTGAGACAGTAAAGCTAGGCTGCTTCACCAGAACTTGCTGTCAACCCCGACGTAAAGGCCCTCAGATGATTCAGAACTTAGCCTATGTATTCCATAACGGAATCGCCAATTTCTATCTTCCTATTCCTCTCCTTTTCCCTTTTTGCTTGCCTTAGCGTTGAGTGTTAGCATTCCGTAGACTCGCAGGACCACGAACGTACAAGTCTATGCGTCCCATATATTGTAAGGTTTGACCGAGTTTACCAATGAGGAGCGCCGATGGTTTAGTGGTAAAATTCTCCGTTGCCATCCAGCAGCGTCGGGGAGCCGGGGGTTCGATTCCCCCTCGGCGCAACTTTTTGTCTTTGCTGGCCTCAACCCAGCGTAATAACCTATTTCTTTTGCTATGGCCAGCCAGAATCATTAATGGAAATGACACCGAGCAGCGTGCATACAATAATTTTGTCACTTGTCAGGTAAAATTGTAATAAGCTTTCTTTATTTTGAGAATATTAGACCCTAACTTGCTTGTAATATGTCGGCCTTCTGCGATGAAACGCTGAAAGTATGAGAGAAATGGTGGAAAACGTTCGTTAACTACCATCGGCTATCGACCCTGATGCGGTACTGCCGTCAGCTTCTGTAACTCCCATGGATCTCTAGACGGTCCTGCGCGCGATGTCTGCAAGGCCGGAATGGTCGAGGATGCATTTGCACCTCTTTGTACGTAGCGAGTGGCGATCCTTTCTTCGATCGTTTGTAGCGATATTGAACGACTTGAAACGGGCCTAGGAGTCGTTGATCTCCACCCTCTGCTATCCCTCGAATCTTCTTGTTCAGCCGCTCTGGAGGCTGAGATGCCGTCAAGTGGAATGTCTTCCCACCTGCCGAGGTCCATGCCCCTCCTAGCCCTCGAAATGGAATTGTTTCGTTGGCGTCTCCTGTTGCTGATCTTGCTAAACTTCTTTGAGCAATAGAAGCCAAGGCGGCATACGAGCCATGGAGGGAGAACCGAGGGCCAAAGGAAGATGGCGGCAAAGTACCAGAAACCCAAGAGGGCTTTGTCTCTTGTCCTGCGTTCTGTAGCTTTGTACCAGGCTGGTAGCGCTGCCAGGCGGAAGTTGTTGATGCAGACAAGGGAGAGAACGCCGATCATGGCGTATCCCAATACGCATGCTACGATGATTGAATCTTGGAGTTCCTCTTGAGACGTGTTGGGGTCGAAATGTGGCGTACCCACAGGGCCTATCATCATGCGAGACGAAAGTATTGGCGGCATGGTGGCGAATGTAGTATCGAATAATACGATGCAAATGTTATAGTGAGTGCTTTTTGTGTTCGACGATGGTTCCGAGCTCGTGGTGTTGTAAGTTAAGAAGACGAGAATAATCAGACGCTGGGAGGGAGATAAATCTCGTTGGACTGATGTATTTTAAGCAGATGGGCGAAAATCTTGCCGTTTACAGTTCTAAAGATTTTGGGAAAGTATGGTCATCAAGGCGGAAAGCCATAAAGGGTTGACGTGGAATCTGGGACGGGGTCGCCGACTCCATGTTAAAGTCCTGTACGTGGCGAGCTCCACCTGGCTGGCCGTATACTCGACTCAATGGCGATAAAGGTTCTGTTTTGTACGAGAACCTCAACGGTCAACCGTTTCTACCAAATTTCCACCTTTATAGCTTCTCTGCACACAACAGTAGAAATACAGAATTTTCATAACGTGGTTCATCATTGAGCGGGACACCATCATCGAGCGGGACACCTTTTCCATGTTTTGAACTAAAAACCCTTATATCTCAACTACAATTAATTCAATTGATTATAACTACTCAGAATCACTCAAATTACTGATTTCTTCAGTCTCTGGGCAGGTTCTTGCGTTATGGCCGGTTTTACGACAGATACCACAGTGTCGTAAACTTGTCCGACGACGCTTTGAAGACCCCTCGTTTTTTTCTTCCTCACAGCCTTCTTCCTCAATAATCCCCTTTTCAGTCATAATTTCCCTAGCTTGCGATCCATCTAGTGCACCGCTATCCTGTAGTCGGGTTCTTTTAGCTCTCC